TTTTCCGAAACACACGGTTCGCTTTAAAACGACATATCTCCTGAACCAATAGACTAAATCCAAATTTGAATAATGCACCGTATGCCTCTTTGATGACGCAACAAATTATTATTTAACCATTTTTTCGTGCATCCATCGGAAAATGGAAAAACAAATGAAAATCAAAACATCAATATTTGAAATCCTTTCAATTCAATATATATCGAAAACAAATGGAAAAATCGAAAATTCCTCATATTCTCATATATATACATTATGTCACGTGGGTTTTGTGGTTTGTTCCATAAATTGACAAAGGTAACCAGCATCTGATGGCTCATCTTCAAAACAATTATATGATTTCTTCGTTTTGAATCATAAAAATTCATTACTCTTTTCGGAATAGTTTTTTTTTTAAAACAAACAGAGATTCCTACCTATTTTTCTATATCAGTGATTCATTGAAAAAAATGTTGAAAGTAATGCTGGTTATAATGATAGAGAATTATTATTGATGATGCGAATAGACTTCACCCCGACGTATCTATACTTATGGCACCTAGTTTATATTATGAATATAATCGTATATTTACGGTTTTTCTATACAGGGTGTTTCGTAATATGTGGGACGCACTCTGGGAGAAAATAAAAAAGTGCGAAACAACCTGTATAACTCAGAAGTGCATGAAAAATTAAAACTGGCTTTTTTGTGTTAATAAAGTGCATCATGATTGAGCATGATTTTGTCTTCTGAATAGTTATTAACTAGTATATTTCTACTATCATCTGATGATAAATACATATGAAGATGGAATTTGATGATTTTTTGTTTTTTTTTTTCAGGGTTCCGATAATATCCGAAAAACGATGAGCTCCGGACCCCTTTCCAGGGGGTACGGGCCACGTGCCTGAAATATGAGGGAGGAGGAGTTAGAAGTTGCCCTGAAGGTGAGAAAAATCTAAATTTATTATGTGTGTAAACAGGTCGTATCTAAATAACACCGAAAAAATTCAAGGGCTGTTTCCAGTTCAATCTAATAAAAATATGAGACTCAGAAAAACCGATGGCGTACAATGACACTCACCATAAATATCGATAAATTTACCCACTGTTAGCGCCACTGCAAATATTATTTCGAATATAATTGCACTAGAAGAAACTCCATATTACTATTAACAAAAACACAACGTTTTATTGAAATTGGTGAAAAGACAATTGAGAAATAAATAGAAAAAAAGATTTTTCATGGAAATATTAATAACCTGTATCTCGAAAACGAAGCAAGGAATCACCACTTGAATTTTTTCGGTGTTATTCAGATCTCGATTAAGATACACCTTGTATTCAATCAACGGCAAAAAAACTGCAATTTTTTTAATCCTTGTCGGATTTTTGTGAAATTTTGATCAAATCGTAGATTCATGTTATAAATATTAGTTTCCGGGAAAAGCTGAATATCAGGGATAAACTAAAGCTACTACAGCATTCAACAGCCGTGGCATCTAGTTGATCAAATTTCTCAAGTGGTCTTGAAGAATGGCCTAAAATTCTTCTTGAATGGCGAATCATAGCTCTTGAAGAGTATCTGACAACGCCGAACGAAGGCGAATGAGCCTCTGCAGTTGATTCCTAAGATGCTGTATCGGTTCTGAATTATTTTAAAGAAAATTGAAAAATTCCTTACTTACTTAAAACACTTGTATCTTCTCTTGAAAAGAAGACATTAACGTGAATCAAGAACCATTGTGTTAAGATGAGACGAAAAAGGATCACACTTCAATACAAAACATGATGAAACAGAAAGTTGGAGTTATTGTTATAATAAAAATAAAAAAAAAAACATACTTTCTTAAAACACTTGTAACTTCTTTATAAAAGTGGTTATCGACAAGAATCAAAAACCATTGTGTTAAGAAGGGTTCACAGTTCAATCCAAAACGTGATGAAGTTAAGTTATTATTATTACATATAAGTAAAGACTGAGACAGAGATGTAAGCCCAAAAACTAAAGGGACCAACAAGTTGATACAATGCATGCAAAAAAAGTACATAGAATACATACATAAGAAAATATAAGCAAATGTCTATCTTGTTCATAAAACTTTTCACTGAGTCAGAATTCACAACATCGTTGGATAAGTTATTCCATGTTTAGAAAATACGATTCACCAAAAAAATATTGTCTCTGCCTCATGATGGCAAATTTCTCCTTTTTTAATCTGAGAGTGTGGCCACGTAACCGCGAATCATTGTTGAAAACAAAAAGTTCTTTCTGATTAGCATAATCAAACTCAGCTATGGTTTAACCGCTCACCTTTGCTACAGGGCGTTGAGAAGTTGAGGGTGAAAGTTTATCATTTATGTTTTTCCCTGTATAATTATCAAGCCCTCAGCTATTCTTAGGACCTAATATTCAGGCTAACATTCCGAAACATGAATATACGATATGGTCGAAGTTTTACAAAAATTGTAGAAAAATGGCTGTTTTTTTTGCCGGTGCTGAAAGTTATTTGGCCCTGTATCAACCAACCTCGACCTAGCAAACGAAACATCCAACCAGGGTTTTTGAAAATGTTCTCTTTAAAATTGCATTTTTTGCTACCAGTTTTGCTCTGCCGCCTTCATCAGTTGGTAATAAATATTAGATATATATACAGGATGAAGTCTATTACAGTATGTTGGGTGTGGGAAAATGCAAATACCATGGTACTGTAATACTTATTTTATTATTGACATAATAAAACTACGACCATATAAGACGTTGAGAAGAGAAAGCACTTTTATACCTACCGATATTATTTATTAACATCACCAACCCACAATAACCACTAATCTCAAAAGCCTCAATGTAGGTACTGATTCATTATTATTACACGAAAATGGCAACATGCATTGTCATACCTACATATTGTTTTCTAATCTGCGTGATAGCTTTCACACCTCAAAGTATTATGTGTGCATGTTCAATTGAAATAATTGAACAATCATCCCGATAAATCAAAATGAGGTGCGCTATGATTACCCATGTATAAAATGAGTTGGAGAAAGGATATTTCATGCAGTTCCAATAAGTCCAAAGTCATTTATCATCTATATAAATCCAAACGAATCCGATTGAAAAAATCAATCTTATTGTTTACAGCGCACTGGATGATGATGAATAAAGCCAACGGATTTACTGTTATTCTTTCATATAGGATGTGATTCATAACATTTTTGACTTGCAATCATTATTCGTTCATCACTCGGTATAATAGACACCTTCATCTGTACGTAAAGATTAATTTGCATGTTATTGACTAAGTATTTCAAGTAGGTATGAAAAGCAAACAAATAAATTGCATTGATTACAGATAATGCAGATGCAGATTGAGTTGAAGAATGTGAGAAATGTAGTAGTCCCGATATAACGTCACTTGTTGCTTTCTTCGATATAATGATAAGTGACTCGTTTTTTACTGAGTAAATACATATCAATTTGTTGACTAATGGCAGTAAGATAGCGAAAAGTTATTCTTTTTTTTCCAAGAGAGTCATTTTTCGAAGTTATTAGATTGAGTCGAGAGAAAGAAGAATTGAAAACAACATAAGAGTGAGACGCAAGAACAAACTTTGTGCAATGAAATCAGCTGATGGGGACAAGTTAAAAAAAATATTTATTCACAACCATATATGTAATGTTGTCATTGTTGTTGTTGTTGTTCTATATAGTTAGAATAACATGGTATTCACTACTAAAAACTTGGTAGATTCAAGATCAATTAATGAAAACATCCTTTGTAGACTAAAATCACTCATTCATATGCCAACATCAGTATGACACTGAAAAGTGTCAAAATTTAAGCAGCACAACTTCCAAAGAGAAATATTTTGCATTTTCATGTTGAGAACGGTATAATAGACACCCGAAAAATCAAGTAAAATGAATGTGTCCCAGAAGAGCTGATTTCATCAATGTATCAATCACACTTGGGGTCTAGCGGCCAAGATTACAGAGATATAGGATGTTCAAAATCGAGATTTCTCAACTATAGAATTTTTTGTTATGCCGAAACTATTCAATATTGGCGAGATTATTGGTCAAAACGGCTCACATGCCCCTATCACAACTTTTTAATTACTATCTGCCGACATTTAATTGGAACAAATACAGGGTGGTTCAAGATTCAGAATTCTGATGATCACCCTGTAACTGCTCCAATTAAATATTAATAGATATTAAATCAACAGTTAATATAGAGACATGAGAGCCATTTTGAATATAATGAACGAAAAAATCCCAAAGTTTAAAATCTAGATTTTGAACTCCCCATATCTCCCTATATCACCCTATAAATCTTGCTAGACCCTAAGTGTGATGCATTGATGGAATCAGTTCTTCGAGGAAAATCTGAAAACGCAATGAAATACGGGGTGTTCCATAATATGAAATATCAAAGCTCCTATACTACTTTCTGGTATAAGCGGAATTGACATTATTTTAGATCGATAAACCAAGAGCAACTACATGAGCAAACAAAATTTTCAGAATGATCCTATGTCCTGCCCTCGTAAACGTCTGAGGTCTAAGGTGTATCATCGACCTTGACCCACCCTGTATATCGTTAGATTTTTGCTGCTCTGATACACCACTATTAATTTTGTTATTTTAATAGTCTCTTCAATTCATTCATTCTTGATATCTTGTATTTTTTAGCAGGTAAAGTACGTATGTGTTTCGTGTTTCATTTTTGTAAACAATCGTGTAAACAATCTTTAAATACACTCATGAGTGCCCAAAATAAAATTATGGCAAAATGAAATAACAAACAATTTTTAACGATATAGGAAACGTATTTTTAGATTACCTGCAACCATATACTAGACTCTGATTTTATTACTACGGATATTACTATAACATTTGTTGAGAAGCAGTTGAAAATCTGAAAATGATCTGCTGGAAATTGAAAAAATTCTAGGAAACTTAACTTCTGTATGTTGTATAGTTTATGGATGATTATTTATCATCAGTTTTTTACAGGTGGTTATAGTGGGCAACGGTGGGGTAGGCAAATCAAGCATGATCCAAAGATATTGCAAGGGTACCTTCACCAAGGACTACAAGAAAACAATAGGAGTAGATTTTTTAGAAAGACAAATAGAGTGAGTATTTAACTTTACATTTGTATCATGTAACCAAATGAAATGGAAATGTTTCCCAATTAAAATGTTTTTTCTGTGACGGGAAAAAAGTTTGGCATTTCATCTCTGTTGGCAGGTTATAAAATGTCACTTTTCATAAATTACTTTTTTCTCGTGGGGAAGAAGTGAGTACTTTTTTCCCGGATATATATCACATATATATACACTGTTGATGGCTTTTGTTGTACTATAGTTCCAAAAAATGGGTCAATAATACCGTCTCCGAGAAAGAACTGCAAGTCCTTTTATCTTCCATTCATCTTCGCGGTTACGTATATTACTAAACAACCACTAAATTCGCAATTCTTTGAAATCAAATCACAGAATTAGACTGACAGAAGTGACATCAGATATTTGATTACTTCCAAAGAATGATGCAGATGCCTACAACGCAGGTGTCCCTATACTGTTAAAAACTTGAAATTTCATGTCGATAATTTTCAGATTTCAAAATAATGTGATATCTTCTCAATATGGATTCGTCCCTTCTTCTGTCACAGAAAAAAATAGTGTATTATACACGGGAAAAATATTAGATTTTAGCACACAACCTGGAGCTAAAATCTACTACTTTTTCCCTTATATAATAAATAACTATTATTTTTATACTATATCGTGTTAAGTTGAATACATGTAGGTCATTGTAGGTAGTTTCTTAATCAATTCAGAACTTTATAACCTAGTTGCATTATCTCTGATAGATTGAGAATCCGCCATTCTGTAATCTTGTTCGACAAGAAGATAAATAATTTTACTTAATTGAATGCCCAGCCTATCCAAGTTTGCAAGCATAAGGTGATTTCAAACAACAAATATTACGAAAGCGTAATTTTAATGGCCAATCGACATTCCAGAGCCAATAGAATTTTCTCATTTTCCGCGTACAAAAATAGAAGGCCGTTTGCTTCCTTCTTCCGCGGTATTACTAATATTGGTAATATTATACCTACACAGCTATTTATATATCAGAATATCATGTAATTCCAATCCCTTCACTTGTCTTTCTTCAAATATACAGGGTTCTGCATCTCACCTTCCGTCTTCTATTCGCGATAGAAAATAACACGTCGACCCACCTGACGGCAGCAACTTGAACACTTCTGAGCGGTTTTGATGATATGACCAATTAGCACAAACAAAAAACAAATGTGAACCAATGAAAACAAAGTAAACATGCCGCTTTGACAGCTTTCAAGATCTCCGATAGGTGTCGTACACTTATTTTCTATCGCGAATAGATCAGTTATCAGTTGAGTCAGGATTTTGATATTTTGCAGACTCCAATTGTTTCTTAGGGCGCATACCAGGAAAATAATTTCGATTTTACAGGGTGCCCCAAAAAAGTGTGGCGTCAAATATGATATATTTTTTTAAATGGCATGCCATATATTTTGTTGCACATTTGAGTGCTCCTAGTGGTTACCTACATTCTCCTGGAATTTAATTGAAATCGGTTCAGTGATATTCACGTAAAAAGAAATATGACAAAAAAATCAATTTTGCCCTACTGATAACTGAGTTATATATAAGATGGTAGGTTAGATGCAGGACCCTGTATAGAGTATATGTTACTTAATAATATTTACTTATTTTATCTTTTGAGACAGTCAAGCGCTTACAAAATGGTTTAAAAAGTGAAGTACATGATGACACACAAAATACACAATAAAAATTGAAATAAATGGCAACAATGGCTACTAACAAACCATCCTGCAGGAACATTTGGAAATTATATTTTTAATGAATGTTGATAGATGATTGTATAATTTCATTCCCATATATCTGAAACTATTTTCCATCAGTTTTGTTGTTCTGTGTTTTGGAATGCGTAGGATATCTCAGTTTCTGGTGTCATTGTAATGTTTTGAACAATTCATTTGGAAGGTATTGATGTTATTATTTCTCACATACAGAAGACAGTGATAAATAAACACGCTGTAAAAAGACATTATTTTATATTTTATTAAGGTGGGTTCACAAGTTTGTTGATATTCCAGTCTGAACATCTTTCGAATGTTTCTTTTGTTACATCGACTGAGTTACCTCATAAAATGATATTATAACACACGTGACTGTATACTAGATTATAGTATACATTAATTATTGCACTGGTGGGATCCCTCCTAAGAAGCCACTGTAAGAAGAAGATATCTTTGTATAGAATGTAATTTTTTTCAATTACTGTTTATGTTGTCAAAGTTTAGTTATTAAGGTAACATTTTCAATCTCACCAGTAAGTGTTACTAAAACGTGAGGTCAACGTGGCCTATTTTATCGAAAATATTTTAAAAAAAGATGTAGGTTGTTTGAACAAATGGAGAACCTCAAGTTATGTTAGGTTTTTTTACTATCGATGTGAAACTTCAAAGTGGCAATTCCGAATGTCCAAAAAAAAAGTTGTAGGCCGAATTGTGAAGTATTCCAATTATTTTCCAGAGTAGACGGAGAAGAGGTGCGGCTGATGCTGTGGGACACAGCGGGCCAGGAAGAATTCGATGCCATCACCAAAGCCTACTACAGAGGAGCTCAAGCCTGCGTATTGGCTTTCTCCACCGTAGACAGGGACTCATTTGAGGCGGCACATTCGTGGAAACTCAAGGTATGTACAGGGTGATTGGTTATATTTTACTCATCAAAAACTATCTCGGTTTATATTGGTCCTACAGAAACGTTGAAATGAGCAAAGCAAAAGTGAAGTATTCTTTATGGGAAATGTAAAACCTTCACAAACGATAAGATGTCCACAAAATTCTCAAACACAGGACATGTTTCGCTAACACAGTAGCTTCATCAGGTGAAATACTGGTACAATGAACTAAACTAGCCTAGGCTTGCTTAACTTTTTATACATCCTACTTTCCCAACCTGAACGATTAAAATTACCTGTGGACAGGTTCGACAAACCTTCATTTTCGAAAATTATACACTGAGGAAAATTTCTATTAACCATAGTCAGAAATCGAATTACCCCAGCAAGAAACTCTAATAGCATAGGTGACAAGCGAGTTATCACCTGTGATTATAAAGTCGACTTTGCTGATTATAACCCACCTGCGATTATTAGATATAGAACCTTGCTGTCACGATGTTTCTTAGTAGGTATCTGACATATTTGCTACGGCTAGTGAGTGCATCTAATAATGGGAGTAGGGCAATGTTATAATCGTAGGTAGGGAACTTTGCTACTCTTGATGGGTGATCATATAGATAGTTGGCATGACCTTCTTACTGTAGTTTTTAAAACATTTAACTTGTTTCTGTGTGGCCGCAAATGACTGAGCTACATTATCTTTCATAAATTTGTTCGAATTAGCATTCATATCGAATTCTAATAGCTTACTTTTCACAAATTCCAACTTCAAATCATTTTCTGACATTGTTCTGATAGCTGTCACCACATTTTCAAACTCATTAGGCATTGAAAGCAGGGGAAAACAAGATATATCCGATTCATCAAAATTACTTCCTAAACTCTTCAATTCTCTAAATATTCTGTCACATTTAGAAAAATGATCTTGTAAATCAGTATTATAACTATACTTGAGACTTGTTATCTGTTTCAATAAATAAAACCTTTCTTAGTGAAAATTCTTTCCAACTTGTTTATCATATCAAAAGCCATATCAATTTCCTTGATGTACTCCAAATGTGAATCTGCTATAATCTGTATTATTACCATACATGCTTTATTATTCTTCTTGTGCCAATTTTCATCTCTTTGACTGCTTCCTGCTCCATTCAGAACTTCACTTAATTCCATAGCTCTCATTACTGAATACAATCTGAATTTCCAATTATCAAATCCATTTACATTGAAAGGAGCAATCCCATATTCATTTTCATTTCCTGATTCCATTTTTCCTTTTCTTCTTACTTCAATCTTCTTTCTTCGACCAAATTATTTTACTTTTACTTTCCTTTATTTGAACACACTCACTCTCCTTTCTTCTGGGCCCATAACCAATGTTAAGAATTGATTAAAACGATTCTAGAAGACTGTGTTTTTATACATTTAATTCTTCATCAAAAAACATCGTACAGAATTTTTATTCTTTCAACTGAACTGTTATTTTTGTTTTAACAATTTCCATGACAACTATATTTTTGCCTTCTAGACTAGACATGAAAAGTATATCAATAATATTGACAGAGGTTTGCTTGAAGTTACAGTGTGTTCTATATATTTCAACATATATGCTACTTTTAAGTCCCGTTTATGTAGAAATGAAGCTAATTTTTCAGTTGATGATCCGAAATAGGTTGAAGTTCTATAATTTGATTTTATTATTCTTGATGGTAGGATGGTAACGGCCGAGACAATTAACAAAAAGAAATCTTTATGGGCATTCAAGGTCTAGTACTAGAAAATGCAAAACCTAAATATTTTACATCATCGTAAACCTAAATATTTTACATAAGATGATATTTTTTGACGAAACACCCTGTATTTTATTTTCCCGATCGATAGACCTTCTTCTTCTGATTTAAAATCCATATACCTTATTGAGGTTGAATCTATAAGTTCTCGAAAAATATAGATTCTGAGGCAGCTGTAGAACGCCAGAAATCGCAGGATTGTCGTCTAGCGTTTATAACGAAAATTGTCTGGTATGTATGTACAGGGTGATTCGCCATAAATGACCCCCCCTCTATCTCACTCATTTTTGAATCGATTTGAAATTTGAAAAATGATCTGAATTGATTTTTCAGGATTTTTTTTTCCCGTTGCATCAGAAAATACAGGGTGCTCGGAACAAACGATCTACAAAGTACTACTTGATTTTTTCAAACGGAAGACCCTGTATTTCATTGTATTCTTAGATTCTTCCTGAAGAGCTGATTTCATCAATACATCACACTTGGGGTCTAGCGGTAATGATTACAGAGATATAGGGTGTTCAAAATCGAGATTTTTCAACTTCAGGATTTTTTTGTGTCGAAATTATTCATTATTGATCAAAACGGCTTCTATGTCCCAATCTCAACTCTTGATTTACTATTCATTATTTCAGAAATGGGCGACATTTGAAAAAATTCCAAAAACACGTGAGTTTTAATTTCTGAAGCCTCATCTCATGATATTCATATGAGAGATGTTACGTCACCGGTGTTGGAGTAAAGACGTAATGGACGATTTTTTCAAATACAAATAGGGGTCATGTGACACCTTGATTGAAAGGTCTACCGATCATCTATTCAACAGTCAAAATGTTGCATAAGAAGATTGAAATTAAAATGGATTATCATGTGATTAATTGAATCTTGCAGAGGTCTGCTACTGAGAATTGAACATCGAAGGGTCGTCTAGTTAAAAAAATACGTCGAAAAAAAAGTTCTAAACTCTAGTTTTTGGTTTTTTTTTTCAAAAGTCGTCTTGTTTTGAAATGAATTTATTCCATACATTTGCATCATACTGTATATAGTCTTTTTTCAGTTTTCAAACTCGTGAAACTCGTCTGCTTGGGCACTGAGTTGGACCAACCACTTTTACAGTTGTAATTAATATTCTACATGTCGATATCATTTTGAATGAAGAATTTTCTCGATGTGGTTATATCTTCGAAAATTCATAAATAATCAATCGTGTTACTGAACTCGCTTGAAGATCGAGGTCAGCCATGCTCATTTAAAAATGTCCTCAATAACGCAGGAATAGCAATAAATCACTTGATCTTGAAAGTAGCAGATTTTAATTGATTTGGCAAAATGACTGATCCTAAATTTCATTACCTATGTATTCTCACATCCCACCTGAATATATTCATATTGTGCTGAGACTGCTGAGTATATAGCGAGAGTATTTTTGTTTTTCTAGGAAAGTGAATCATCATGATGCGTAATATACAAATGAACTCCTCTTGACAGATTATCATTGCTTCATGCATCTTTGGAATACATGAAACTTATTTTTTCTCCAAATGACATTAAAAGAGTATTTTCAATAGCACTTAACAGGCAGAGAAAATACAGGCTTGAGTTTTGGTGGTATTGATTTCAACCAGGTGTTAGATTGCCAAGCTGTCGTCATTCATTGTTCGGAACTTATCAAATTTTTTCAGTTATGACATATGTTCAGATCATAGAAATTATTTGTATTCAATTTATATTCAATTATAACTCATCTTAAGAGTTCAAACATTCCTTCCACTAAGATGGGAATCATAGAATAACATAGAATCTTATTTAATTTAACTTATACTTATATTAAATTCAGTCCATTCCTTATGGGAAATAGAGCTGTTAAATTGAATTAAATATAAATTAAATATAAATGAGATTCTATGAACTGACCAATTCTTCAATATTTTGCGTATAGTACCTAGTGAATAAAGTAAAAGTGACTCATCTAGAAAATCACGAAATTGGTCCAAGATGTTTTTCACAAAATCTCACACATTATTCGGAGAACGATTATTTTTTTGTTGTCGAAATTTTTGCTGCTCTTAAATCATGAGGTGTAAAATGGTGGATGACTAAGCTTGTTTTTTTTTTGTTCACAGGTAGAGAACGAATGTGGAGAAATACCAACTGTGATTGTACAGAATAAAATAGATCTTATCGACCAGAGCGTTGTCAATCCGTAAGTATAAAACCTTTATTATATCACCAAGGTAGTAAAGAATATCTGTATTATTCAGGGACCACTAGTATATCTCGAGGCTTCAGCCGAGGTATATAAGGTCCGTGGTAATAACATTCTTCACACTGTATATTACATTTTTCTAATCACTATCCAATATATTTCAATCATTAGTTCTGTGAAACTGATATATTGGACCTCTGTTGTGACTACTAAAGGACTTTTTCTCAATTGTAATCTAGTAGCCATATGACAAGCATATGACGTCGTTATTGATAAAACCACTAGATTCGAGTGCTATTCCTGCGAATCTCGCATCACAACAGTGAATTCGGGTTAATTATAATAAAGGTGCCTATGTCATTATTGACTAGTAGTTGAATGAATGACGAAAACTACCTTGATAGTAAATACAAACTTTACGCGTTTAAAAGGAGTAAAAATTGGTAGGATCTGCATCTGTTCTACCAGCTAGTGGTGGAAAAACTTTTTTAGGCGCGTTCAGCAATTTTTTGGGTGAGGAAAAACATTGGATTTCGTTTCACCGCCATGTTAACCGTTTGTTTGTTACCCTTTCACGCCCAAACTACTCAAACCCGCTCAAACCTTTGTGTACATATTCTTAGATGTATTAGAAAGAACATATTATTATATAGGATACTTTTTATTAAACCAAAATCAAGATGGCGGACAAGTATTGTAATTATGATCCGCACTCTATTCAAAATTGGTATCTGAGGGTTTTCGAGGTCGGACATTATGGGTCTGTTCCGAGGTCTGTTCGTTTGTATTGCTATGAACTTGCTAAAGTAGATTTTTTTCCATAGTTGTCTCTGTTCATGGCATGATGTAAACAAAGAAAGTCATAGAAAAAAATCAAGTTCAGCAGGAGCAAGGACAAACGAACAGGCCTTGTGATTCTCTTGTCAAAATTTGAAAATTCAAGATAGCGCAACCAATATGGCGGACGAGTTTTGTAATTCTTATGATCCGATTCTATATTCAAAATTGATATCTTGGGGTTTCCTAGGTCGGAGATTATGATTCTTTGGAGATTCAAGATGGCGAATCCAATTATGGCGCATGAGTTTTGTAGTTCTGATCAGATTCCATTAAAAATTTGTATCTGGGGGTTTTCGAAGTCGGAGATTATGAGTCCTTCATCAAAATTAGGAAATTCATGATGACCGATTCAATATGGCGGCATCAAAATTGGGAAATTTAAGACTGCAGATCCAACTTGGCCGACGAGTTTTGGAATTATGATTATATTCAAAATGTGTATCTGGGGCTTTCGGGGACGGAGATTATGAATCATTCGTCAAAGCGAACTAAAAGGAAGTAAAAAATTAATAATCTAATAGCTTGACATTACAATTCACAATAAGTTACTTAGTTTCCACTTCTATCGCCAGTCCTCAAAGACTACCCCCGCACTTTTGCATGATAGTCCAATAAATAAAGGGAAAAAGTTAACATTAATTACGCACTATTTTCATCTTCCGGTTGGAAGTAGCTTTTGGTACCTCATTAAACATGAGACAAAGTTTGACTGAAAAACGCGTGCGATGGTGGAGAAAATGGCCCCAAAAGACCAGAAAAATAGGTTTTCAGCCAATATCTCCTAAAATATGGCAGTTAGAGATTTTCGGTTCAGATGGAAATTGAAGTTCAGTTAATTTTCTACAAAAATGGTCCTCATCATTTTTCTCGAAAATTTGCCCGGTTTCGAGAAAAATGGCACGAAGCTCGAATAATGAGCTTCTGTTGTATGCCGGAGAGCACCAGTCCGTGTATTTACACATCGGCGGGGGAACAAATTATTCAATAACTTTGTTAAAAATGCATATTTTCTCATGATTCAAAGTTCATGTGAAAGAGGAATTCTGCTGCTATCATACCCTGTGAATTGAGTCATGCTTGACTCTTTTGGCCATATCGGAACATGGGTCAAACTTTCTACTCCCGATCAATTTTGACCTCGCCAGGAATTTGTTCCTATTTTTTTTTTGTATTGCACTAATTTACTCAAAATTTTCTTGATTATGGGTCCTCATAAGGTCCTTTGTCATCCCTGAAATTTGAATACCCTATTTTTTTTTAATTTTCATTTAATCTTTGTTTATTGAATCCCAATTTTTTGCTGTTTTTGGAGCGCGGGGAAATTTTGTGAACAACCATCAATTAAAAATGTATACATGATCCGATTGGTTTCTATGATACATCACTTGAAAGCTAATAAGGTCTACTTTTCGATTGTGCAATTACTTTTTTGGATGAAGTCGTCCATTTTTCAATAAAATTAGAAAAAGCGGGGTCAAGGAAAAAACGCACTTTTTTTTCGGTGTTTTTTTTTCTCCGTGCTCTTTATTTCTAACATTTTAACACCTAGACTAGTGTAACGGAGGAATTCCCACCTTTCCATCGATGTATATAAGTCATACCTTTGATATCCCGGGAAAAACCCAGTATATCTAAATGTACACGCTATAATTTATTACTTTCGTTCCTCCGTCGTTCGCCGCGTGTGTGCTCTACGTGGCTCTCGGGTCGTCTGCTACAAACCATGCGGCCACGCAGGGTATGATAGCAGCAGAATTCCTCTTTCACATGAACTTTGAATCATGAGAAAATATGCATTTTTAACAAAGTTATTGAATAATTTGTCCCCCCGCCGATGTGTAAATACACGGACTGTGCTCTCCGGCATACAACAGAAGCTCATTATTCGAGGTGCGCTTCGTGCCGTTTTTCTCGAAACCGGGCAAATTTTCGAGAAAAATGATGAGGACCATTTTTGTAGAAAATTAACTGAACTTCAATTTTTATCTGAACCGAAAATCTCTAACTGCCATATTTTAGGAGATATTGGCTGAAAACCTATTTTCCTGGTCTTTTGGGGCCATTTTCTCCGCCATCGCACGCGTTTTCCAGTCAAACTTTGTCTCATGTTTGATGAGGTACCAAAAGCTACTTTCAACCGGAAGATGAAAATAGTGCGTAATTAACGTTAACTTTGCCTTTTTTTTCCTCCTTCATTTATTGGACTATGATGATCGTTGCAATTTGCAGGGAGGAAGCTGACCTCTTGGCCCGCGCCCTCGGCTGCCGCCTCATCCGCACCTCTGTGAAGGAGGACCTCAACGTCGTCGCCGTCTTCAGGCACCTCGCCTCCAAGTGCCTCCAAGAGCTGAGGGACCCCCCTTTGCCCCCCCTTTGCACGATTACGGACTACTTTGCCGCCGCCCCTGCCACCTTCGCCTCTGACTCTCTCACCATTAGTAAGTCCAAACAAGTATATGTATCTTTTCGGTTGAGTAACTGAAGATAGTACAACAGAATTGATTTACGAACTGAAAATATAATTCGTGAAACGTTTTTAGGTATCTTTTTCGCGTTTTGGTTTTCTTAGGTTTTTCCCCATCATATTTGAAATGTGAGTCTGATAGCAATTTTCGAACATTTTTACCAATTATCTGTGAAGAAATCAGGGTGAAAAATATACCAAGAAAAACAAATGTTTTTTCTGCAACCGACACAAAAGTCGTCCGTTTTGATACCAAAATTAGCTCTTAAATTGACGTTTCTATTACTGACACAAAAATAGGTATGTTGCTAGGCAACACATTTAGTTCCTAGGAGCTAAAGTTGAATTTTAAATCCTAGGAGCTAAAGTTGACTTTAGCTCCTAAGAACTAAAAATAATGTACTGGACATCATCAAGAATAAACAACATTGTGACGGTTGGGTATTTGGGTTGAGACGCATAAACCTGATTTGTTTCCGATTTCAGCAGATTTGGCATTACTTACCCATGATGGAGATATAAATACACATTATAATAGTTCAGTATTGGAATTATAAACATCTCGGTTAGATATTTTTGTTTTGATCAGGGAAGCCTTCAAGATTCAAATGCTTGCTTGATCTGTATTTCATTCGTTATTCTCGGGATGGATAACTTGTTTTTGAATAATCACGGCAAGCAATAGTTTTTTTGTCTCAAACAACGATATTGTTTAGCTTCATTTGATTATCAAGTCGAACAGTGTAGTATGGAGAGGAATAAATAATCAATAACCTAACATTTTCCACGTCTTTGCTATTAGAGCACCTGGTCCATACACAAATATGTCACTCTGTGGTTTGTATTTATATTGAAACTACAATTCGAACATCCTAGAAAACATAACCTGCTGTTAATGCAGGTAGAATATTCTCACCACATGGATTATTTGTCAATATTTGTTGCATTGCATACATATGGCACGCATTGGTGGTTACTTCACATGTTTATTTGAGTTAATTGTTTCGGTTTGCAGAAAAAAATAGCATGTTTCATTCGGATCAAAAGTGACTTTGTTCGACTCGCAAATTTTGCTTTCGCTCGGCTTCGCTATACGCTCCGCCTCGCAAATGCAAAATTCGCTTGTCAAAACAAAGTGTCACTTCTGATCCTAATAAAACAATCTACTATTTCTGTAGTCTATCGGTACGAAATGTTGTAACCTGTTTTCATAATCATTTTCGTCTTTATTTCAGGTACTTTTAGCCCTAGTCATTCGTCCAAAAATAATGGAACAATAGTACTACGTCCCCATAAGCAAAAAAAGAAGAAAAACGTCCTCAAAAATGCCTGTAGAATACTCTGAAAATATCATGAATTGTAACCAAAAATATTTATTGTGGTTATATTTTTTGCCATGTATGATATTGATTTATATTGATTTTTTTAAGTGAATTTACTTCGAATTTTTTCAATTTGTATTCTCTGATATGTATATTAGGCCAACTGGTTGAAGTGCTAATAATGTATATATTACACTTCATGATCAAAATTATTGTATCTTCATAATATCTACATCTATTAACTATGATTCTCGAACACAATTTTCAACAGAGTTTTCAACTCACAATTAGAGGGTTGAAATTGCAATAGTTTTGATAATGAGGGTATATAGTTTGTAAGTAAATTTCGTATTACGAAATTCCTTGTATCATATTTTGAAATACAGTGTGCTATGTTAGTGAACTAACTTTGGAAATGAGTGAATATGAAAGTTTGTACCTACCTATACCAATAATTTAGTAATATATAGAGTGTATAAAAAAAACTATGGTATTTCCCTGATTTCCCAAAAAGTATTTTTATTGGGGTAACAATAAAATCAACAAAATATAACAGCGTTCACAAATAGTTATTTATTATACAAGGGAAAAAAGTAGTAGATTTTAGCTCCAGGTTGTGTTGTCTCCCGACGCGTAGCGGAGGGAGACAAAAAACCGTGAGCTAAAATCTAATATTTTTCCCGTGTATAATACACTATTTTTTTCTGTGACAGAAGGAAGTACGAATCAATATTGAGAAGATATTACATTATTTCGAAATCTGAAAATTATCGACGTGAAATATCAAGTTTTTAACAGTAGGGACACCTGCGTTTTATAGACATCTTTATCATTCTTTTGAAGTAATCAAATATCTGATGTCACTTCTGTCAGTTCAATTATGTGATTTGATTTTAAAAAATTGCGAATTCAGTAGTTGTTTAGTAATATACGAAACCGCGAAGTCGAATGGAAGGTAAAAGGACTTGCAGTTCTTCCTCGGAGACGGTATTATTGACTCATTTTTCAGAACTATAGCACAACAAAAGCCATTAACAGAGTATATATATGTGATATATATCCGGGAAAGAAGTACTCACTTTTTTCCCACGGGAAAAAAGTAATTTATGAAAAGTGACATTTTATAACCTGCCAACAGAGATGAAATGCCAAACTTTTTTCCCGTCACAGAAAAAAACAATTATTTCTAGCCAAAGAATGTTCATTCATTTCAGTGAAATCATGTCAAAAATTGAACATTTATATGGAAACTATGAGCCTCATCGAATTGAGTTTTTATAACTTCAAACTTCAAGAAAGATACAGAATATAACGTCCTTTCCATAAATCTACCAGGAGATATTTAATAGGTACCAATACCTATACGTTAACAAAAAATATGGTTTGAATGTATCTGAAAAAATTACGTAGGTACTTATATATAGGTACCTCTAGTTGCCGGAACATGTTAGAAAATAATAAAAATTTCTTACTCTATACAGGGTGTTTCATAGGCAAAGGGAAATATTTCAATGGTACATAGGGGTCACCAAGGGGGTTCTGAAAATACCATATTTGTTGGTCTCAGAGTCTTCATAACGGAGATACAGGGCGATTTATCGATTTCGAATAATTATTCATTCGTCTATAAGTATTGAACTACCAAGTATATTTTCCTAAAATTTGGTATGGAGCTTATACTTGGGACGTTCAATTCATTCACCTATCGGGTGAAGTGAAAATCCAGGTTCGGTTACATTTATTCGAAATATTAAAATAACACACTGTATGTAATAATTGACAGAGTTCATCAAAGGAATCGTGAGGAGGAGGAAAAACTGAACTGGATTTGATGCTTTCTGTTTTCCCGCCACCAATTCTCATCGTAACAATCATAAACAGAAAACTAAAAGTATGTCAATTTGAAGAGTATTGAAATTATGAAACCACTTTCAATTATGATTATTATTTGATATTTACTTGTTGAATGATCGTTCGATAGAACTTACTCAGTCTCACAGTCTTTATAACAGAGATACAGGGTGAATTATCGGTTTCGAATAATTATTCACTCGTCCATATAAGTATTAAACTACCCATCGCAGTAATATTTTTTCAAATTTGGAATTGAGCTTACTTGGGACGATGGATTCATTGACCTATCAGGCAGAATGGAAATACAGGTTCAGCTTCAGGAAAAGTCTCATAGTCTTTATAACAGAGATACAGGGTGAATTATCGAATTATAATTATTTGGTATTATTTCCATTCCGCCTGATAGGTTAATGATTCCATCGTCCCAAGTAAGCTACATACCTACCAAATTTGAGAAAATGTTACTGGGTAGTTTAAGACTCATGGAGACTGTGAGACTTAGTGAGTTCTTTCGAGCGATTTTTTGACTGAAATATCAAATAATCATAATTGACACTGGTTTCATAATCCCAATACTCTTCAAATTGAAATACTTTCAACTTTCTGTTTATGATTGTTACGATGAGAATTGGTGGCGGGAAAACAAAAAGCATCATACACAATTCAGTTTTTCCTCCTCTTCATAATTCTTTTGATGTACTGTGTTAATTATTGAATACAGTGTGTTATTTTAATATTTCGAATAAATGTAAATTTTTCCTGAAGCCGAACCTGGATTTTCACTCCGCCCGATAAGTGGATAAATTTAACGTCCCAAGTATAAGCTCCTTACCAAATTTGAGAAAAATATACTGGGTAGGTCAATACATATAGACGAATGAATAATTATTCGAAATCGATAAATCGCCCTATATCTCCGTTATGAAGACTCTAAGACCTATCAAATATGGTATTTTCAGAACAACCTTGGTGACCCCTATCTACCATTGAAATATTTCCCTTTACCTAAGAAACACCCTGTATAACTATACAGGAAACTGATACTTTTTGTTGCACTGTATACTATATACAGAGATTTTAAAATAAGTATACATACAGTGTGTGGTATATCAACTCGCAACATTCCTAGTTCGGAACCCGATCACCGATTTTCGAAAAAAAAAATCATAATATTTGTAGTACTCAACGAGATATCTTCGAGAATGTGGACAAATCCCAAATATTCTGATTCCTAAAGCCTACTGATGTATGTTGAAGGGGTAAATAGAGGACGATGAGTATATATTATATAATGGTATATTTGTTTTGGAAAATCTGTCAACATCAGGATTCAAATTAGAAGGGAGTTGTGAGTTGAGATCGCCATATTGTATATTATACCTATTGAACACATATAAATATGATAAAATCTATAATGAATGTTCCCAAAATATCAGAATTTCAATTAATTAATTGGATAATTAATCAATATTGAACAAAAAATGTAAAGAAAATATCAGATCATAAATAATATTCAGATTCAAAAGATATTGTACAACCTTTCATTTGTATCTAATTTTCTCATCAAATTTCTATGTAAAACTCGACCCTGTCTATCCGAACACTAGGTGAGAATTCGAAACTAGAAACAGTCTCGAATATGTGAATACATAAAAATCATCAGCTTATATCAGCTACCATCACTCCCATTACTATTACAATCATCTACATCTGCCAGGGAAACATTACTGAAAATTTTCGATTTCCTTTTAACGATTTGAGGCAGCAAACGGCTGAAATCCGTCACTTTCTCCACTACAAAATCCGGTAAAGGGTCCCCTTCACGTAGCTGCCTACTGCCCAAAGGTACCCATACACTACACAACAGCTTGGCGTTGCTTCCCCCTAAAATGTCCGTCTCCAGTTTGTCTCCTATCATGACGCAGTGTTTAGGATCGACTGCCAAGGTTTCGCAGGCTTCAAGAAATATTTCCGCGCTTGGTTTTTCCCAAGGCAGATCACCGGAAACCAGGATGAGGTCGAAGTAGGACTTGAGGTCGAGTTTTTCCACTTTTTCCCACTGGGCTTGGGACGGGCCGTTGGTTATCAGGGCCAACAGGTGCGATTTCCTGAGGGTTTTCAGGAAGTGCGTGATGTCTGGGGCTAGCGAGAGGTACTCGTACCTTAGTGTCAGCCATTGTTGGTAAATATCATCTGGAAATTGAAAAAAAGTAAGTGATTCCGTGTGATTCATAATTCACCAGGATTTTTTTAAATTTTTGTTTCATGATAGATATCAGGATAAGAGGAACTCTTCCCATGTCTGAATCAAATGAAAGGAAGATCCAATAATAATCTGGCTGGACAATCAATATAATGCCCATTATACAGTGTGACCAAAATATAAGGTTGCACAGCATAGCATCGGGATAGCGGAAACGGTAGGAGTTGTGAATTCTTTCGAAAATTACACACCCAACATTTTCGACCAATTAAAATTTTTTTGACGTTCATAGGTAAAATGACATCTACATTCACCTTCAAATCACGATGAATTAATTCCATAAGTTGTGAGAAGACATATTTCTACCAACTTTAGCTAAATTAATTTGTAAAATACATATTTTTTATTATTTCATTTAACTAGTCATTTTTTCATACTTCAGGTGACCTAAAAATATTACGTAGGCGAATTTCATTGATACTAAATAGTACTTCGGGTTTCTCGTGAGAATTTTGTTTTGTTCTGGTTCCCACGTTCAGAGAACATCGTGAGAACCAATAATAGAAATAAGGTAGGATTGGTGTTCATCTCAAATTTCTGGTGGTTATATGCCTCAAGGAACACCTTCCTTGGCAATGTGTTCCAGAGCCTCGCTGTTCGTTGGATGAACGAGTCTTTGGAAATTGGAAAGAGATGTTCTGCAGGTCTCCAAAGTGACCACGAAGGGGTGCGAAGCCTCAACTCGACGGGTTAATCTCGCGGGGACTGCCAAGGGAGGAACAATTGTTGACATTTCAGAAAAGCATCGTCCATGAAACATCTATAAAATAGAGCCAGACCGGCAACTTTTCTACGGTGTTCCAGAGAAGTGAGTGAGTTTGTGAGCGAGGCATCACCCACGAGACGAATTGCCCTTTTTTGGACAGAATCCAAGAGTTTCTCGAGTGATAGAAAAGATATAATGGAGTGAATCCAAAAAAGAAATGATAAAAAAAGATAAGGCAAACCTAAACGTTTGGCTGCTTCTTGGTGGTGAGTTAATTTCTTGAAGAAGTGTCTTTCCTAAATGAGAAACAGACATTGTGACCAAAGTATCTTGACATATCTTGACAGTTTTTATTATATAAGTCTGTCAAATCCTATCATCTCATTGTCATTCACTCTATCGCCCATTCCATCGAGATGCATCCGTAAATACCGAAATTTTAGGTCATCATCCCCCAAATTCCCCGTGCGACTTCCTTAGATGTTACTCAAAGTGGTGACCTTGACAGGAGACGAGCGCATGCTAGACGTGGAGCCCACTGACAAAATCCTGACCATCAAGGAAAAGCTGGAAGAAAAGGAAGGGATACCGCCCGAACAGCAGAGGCTGGTTTTCCAAGGAAAGCAGCTGAAAGACGATAAAACTGTGAACAGCTACAAGCTGAAAGGTGGTACCGTTCTCCATCTGGTAGTAGCCCTGAGAGGAGGTCAAGAAAATTATGAAAACGTTGAATACCTAGA